GTGTGCCTGTGTTTTGATGGGGCCTCCAGGGGCTCGGAGTACAGAGCACACGATGTCACCCCCTGCCGACAGATGCGAGTCTGAAAATTTGGGGATGATTTCCCGCACCATTGTGTACACGGCAGCATACTGTCACACTAGTTAACACGGACATCATTTAAGATGAGTGTAGCAGCGTAGCATTTTTACGAAAACTTCCGTTTCGACAAGTGATTAGAAGTCTCAGGGCTCTGCAGATTGTCTTTCCAGGCCGTCGTCGCGGCCGTGCAAGGTCTCTACGATGCGTGGCTTGGCCATCTCTGGTGTGGTGGCTTCTGGACCCGGAATCCCCCAATCACAACATGGATTGAAGTTCGATCTCAGGTACAAGGGGATGTACGGATGGCAGAACCGACCACTGCAAATCGACTGAGTGCTCCGGGTTGCCGTGAGCAGGCGATGAAAGCCATGATGGCGCCGGGGAGTTTTTCTTCAAGCTTGCTCGTGGTCGTGGGCGTAGTTCTTATAAGCTTCATGGCTTGGCTTTAGATTGCCTGAAAACCTTTGACTTCATCGCGCTGAGCCCTACTAAATCCGGTTTTCTCAATGCCATTCGAAATGCGTTTTAGTTCAAGCTTCTTCTTCGAAGCTTTCTCAAAAATCCTTCTTCATGCCAGTGCTGTTCTGGAATTTCTTCTTCAGTGGTCCTTGTTAACATGTTTTCAACATTCAGGAGATGTGGCGTTGACGTTAAGCTCCGTTCTTCCCGTTTCTTCTTCAAGTCTTCTTGGGTAAGACGGCGGATCGTGTGAAGAGCGACGCGGTAGTCGTGCTTCTAAGGGGCCCATGGTGCGGCGAAGACCTTCCAATAAAAATGCATGCCGGCGGGACATGCTGACTCTTGGTTAGTCCCAGAACCTAGAAGACTCGCAGCACTCCACGGTAGTCGACTTTACTTCTGTGTAAGTGGCGGACTCCATTCGGAAGAGCCTTTCCCGGAACCTTGATCGAGGTCACTTATGCACTCCAATGCACCCGGAAACGGAGCGTTTGCGAGGCCTGTCGAGGCCTTCTGTCGTGATTTCACCGACTTGCTCAAACCGCCTTCCAAAGACGACATCGCCCCCCCTTTGCACCCAGAGCACACTGTGTGTCTGTACCTCCAAAGTAGTGTGCGCAAGCTATCAGAAGAGCTCTCTGCTTCAGCTCGAGCGCCGTAGAGCGAGTGGCTGCCCTTCGCAGCGCTTTGAGCGCCGACTCTTAGAGAAGAATTCCGTATGGAGCCTCGCAAAGGCAGCAAGCAAGAGTCGGAAAGCCTGTTTTTGGCCGTTTGAAAGCCAAGTAGGTTATAGGATCCGGCAAACTCAACCGTCGAGCTAAATAGCAGCAGCAGTAATCGTAGTGAGTGGGGGCGCCGTCGTAGTACCTGAAATACGTGGTGGTGGTAGCCTTGAGATGCCTTTTGCATGGCGATACCCATAATGCTGGGGTTCGTAAGGACAGGCTACATTGTCGTCTTGACGGGGTCGCTGTCCTTGGGCTAGCAGTGGTTCCGCCGCCACACGACTGCGTGGCTCACCGCCGCTCCACCACTTTCAACACAGTCGGAGACATCACAACGAATAGAATGGACGATATGGATGACGACCGTCATGGCCTTGAGATGATGCTGTGATGATGGTGATCGTGAGCAAAGTACTGCAATCTTACCAGGGAAGCCTTGCTTTCTTCGGTCGGCTCGGGGGTCGGCGCACAAAGTTTCATGGTGCTAGAGGGAATCTAAACTTTTAGGGAGGCTTCTTGAGTTTGCCTGACTTTGGCCGTCATGTTTCGAGAGCCCGATCATGCTGTCTCTCCGACGGTGCCACCAGAGCCCATGCCGATGAGATGAGCTCGCTGGCTGGTGTCTATGGCGGCCTATCAAGCATGTGCATCACCTGTGCCAGACCATCTTGTCCCGAAAGGCGCAGGCAGGTTCACGTGTGCCTTTATTGTGGTGCTTTCTGGCAACTGAAGTTGGGCTTGGGAGGTTGGACTTGTAGTGGAACTCTGAAATCACAGCCCCGTCTTCCCAGCATATCGCTCTTCGTCGGCCCGTTGTCTGCCTACCGGGATGAGCACGTCTGGCCCTCAGCAGGGCTCACTGTTGTAGAGCGGTCGGGTTCTGGGGTGTTAGGGTTTACGGTTTAAGGTTTGGGGAGGTTTGGGGTCCAGGGCCAAGGTCGCTCAGTCAGGGCTGTCTGGGGCACTAGGGTTTAGGATTGCCCGTAGATGCTCCCGCCCAACGTCGGTTTGTACTCTAGCGACATATCCCGGCTTAATCCTTGCAAAGTTACTGTAGTCTTTGGACTGTGGCTGAGGTGATCGACGTGATGAAGTGTGGCATGCGAATGGGCACGAAGCCTGCTATCGAGAGGCACCGTTGCGAGGGTTCGGGCTTGAGAGTTCTTAATTCAGGGTTTCAGGATGCAGGCGGGCGGCTTCGGGCGGCTTCGGCGGCTTCTCTGCTACTGCGATGCATGAGCTTTCCGTGCATGACTTTGTCGACGATTGAGCTCTCACCCTTCAGCCTCAACCCGAAAGCCGAACAACAAACCCCTTTCTCAGCCCCCCCGCTATTGTCACCCTTGTAGCCACCCATGGAGTCGCCCTTAGCACCTCCAGATATCTACTTTGCAGGCCGGGGAGGTCTCGAAAGGTGATGGAGGCCTGGGATGGGGCCTCGGCATTGAGGCTTCGGGTCTAATACAAGGGCTGTCATAACTAAAGTGGGGTGCGGTGGTATATTTCTACTATATTCATTCATGCTTCAAAAACAAGAGGCCGGTAGTCCTAACTTCATAGCTCCTTGTTTCTCGCTCGCTGCCAGTTGTGTGGTTTAGCTTACGCGATCTTTTCAGCGCTTGCGTGATAGTGGCGACGACGTGCCCGGCTGTTGCTGAGATCTCGTGTATTGCAGCATCAGAGCCTTGTCTAGAACTTGTTTCTCAGCCTTTCAGGGGCAGCTATTAGAATGCATAGACGCGCCAGGCAGCAAAGGCGCTGACCCGCGACCCCTGTTTTAGAAGGGGCTCTGTTGGCAAGGCTCAAAGAGACTCGAGGACCGTTTCCACGCATTCCCTCTCTTAGATCACTAGGATGTCCGGTGCCCCTCTCGCTGTCGAGTCCGGCGTCCCTCTCGCTGCTCTCGAAGCCAAGGATGACGAGCCGAGAACGCTCGTGTCTCGTAAGGGTGTTTCTCTGGGCGGCACCGTCGTTACCATGTTGAACGTCTTCGTCGGTGGCGGCAGTGTAGTCTTGCCATACGCCTTCCGGCTGTCGGGGTGGCTTTTCGTTCCGTTGCTACTGGCGGTCGGAGTGCTCATGGGCTTTACTCTTTGGATCATGGGCTTCCTCTTGGAGGCAGTAGACGATCGGGCAGAGCAGATGGGGGTGCCACGCTCTCAACGTGACTGGGGCCTTATCGGCTATGCTGCATTCGGGAACGTTGGTCGCCTGCTATTCGCTGGTTGCATGTTCTTCGACCTCACCGGGGGGGCCTTGGTTCTGGTCAGCATCGTGATTGAGCAGCTTCCTTTTTTGCTACCGTTCAGGCATAATGTGACGGCCGCATTTTCGTGTGTGTTGGCCTTCAGCTGTTGCCTGCTTCCCAAGAGATTCTTCTCAGCAATGGCCGTGCTGGGCATGTCTTCCCAGATTATGCTGATCCTTGGGCTTGTGATCACCGGTGTGGAACTGTCGTCGTTGAATGAGGTTGCGACAGATCAGACAGCTCTGAAAGCAGCAGGCGTGCCATCTGCCTTTGGCATTGCCCTTCTCTGCTTCCTGGCACACAGCGAGGCTCCTCTCATCTACCAAATGATGGAGGACCGCAAGCAGTGGACAAAGGCCGTGATCTATAGTATGACACTCACAGAGGCTTTCCTCCTAACCTTTGGAGCCTAGGTCCGTCAGTACCTGTGGTTTCGGGGCTGCCTATGTAGACTGAAGAACAGGAACAGCTGTGCGCATGGTTTTCTGGGCATCTTAGGAGCACTTGGCTACGGCTTCTTCGGCGGCAGCGTTGCGCAGTCCATCGCAGACAACATTGGCCGTGACTTGGAGCTTCAAGTGCTTCCCGGCGGCTTAAACGTCTTCTTGGGTGCCATCACAATCCTTGGCCTCAGCACGAAGCAGCTTGTGACACTGCCTTTGCTCCTGGATGCCACCACCGACTTGTTCGGCGAGCAGCTTCACTGGAAAGGTCAACTGTTGGTGAAGGCACCTGATGACCTAATGTCCAACAGTTGGAACATAGATCGGGTTGAAGCGAGCGTTGAAGCGCATGTCGGAATGGTTGCCTAAGCTTCCAGATGTCAGGCCATCATCCTGGGCCTCTCGGGCATTGTTGTCTTGCTTCTCAAGGATGCCGTTGCTTTCATTGGGGATTTGGTCGGCATCCTGCCTGCGAATGGTGTTTGCGTTATCTTTCCCTGCGCCGCTCTCCTGCAGATGTACGGCCATGAGATGCGTATGTGGCAGCGCATTGGTGTTCGAGCCTTGGTCGTTGTATTTAGTTTGTACAGTGTGTTCGGATCGGTATCTACTGTTCGGCAGCAGCTTGCCATGTAAAGACGGCAAAAATGCAACGCTTGCCAAGTGCACATGAATTCAGAGTCGAAGAAGCTCGTACAGCTTGATGCTGTCATCCACGGATTCCTGGCACATGTACAGCGCCACGGCATGAGGAGAGCTGTTGCAGGTCTGTATTTCGATAGCAACAGCCGACATGCATCATGCGAGCTCCAAGAACAAGTGAAGGTACAGAGACACATCCACTACCAAATACACGTTCTGCAGCCTCCTTCCGGAGACTGTTGACTTGGGTTGCAAGCTCAAGTGTACCTGCCGGTGTTCGATGCTACTCGGGGGTCCGGCTTAAACTGGAGCATTGCAGGGGTTCCGACACGTAATGGCTTGCTGCAGCCTTTTGAAACGACAGTGGCCTAGCCCGTGGCACACGTCCATTGGCCGCTGCGACCATGCGAAGCTTGGCTGAACTTGATTTGTCAGCCACCCACTTTCAGAGCCCATCTCTGGTCTTTCCCTTTGCTGATTTCGCCTTCTGCTACGCAGCTGCATCTTCTTATCCTCCTGCTCCTCCCACTCCTGCTGCGGCCATCATTGTCTGTATGTTTACTGCCATCAGACTGCTATGTTCGATATCGCCGCAATCATTGTCTTAATCACCATCATCGCAAACGATCAGCACATCATCAGCATCGGCTCACCCTCACCACCATCATCGTCATCGTCATCGTCGCCAGCTTCATCGCTATGGTCCTCACCATTAGAGGCAGGATCGTCGTCATCATTGTCACCATCCCCAGCATCATCGTTGTCGTTACCATCTTCGTTATCAACATCATAATTGCCATTATCTTGGTCATCGCTGGCTAGCGTCGTCACCAGCATTGGTATCATCGTGGTCGTCATCATCGTCGCCTTTGGCCTCACCTTCATGCTCATCTCCTTCCTCACCACAGTCATGCTCCTCGTCTGCATCTGCCTCATCTTCATCTTCAGCCTCGAAGCACAACCAGCATCGGTATCATCGTTTTCCGTCCAGTGTCCCTGGCCGGCCGTGGTCGCGCATGCGCCTAAGTTCACTCCCCGGCAGGAAAAGTGCTTCCCCTCCTTCTCGCCTTCTTGACGCACGCGGACGAAACCGGTTTGCTGCAGGATGACGAGTGCCAGGAGGGGTCCCAAGGCAGGAGCGAATCGGATCTATGGCAAGGCAGCAAAAGGATGAAGGTCGCTACGCTACAAAGCTGAGTTAATGACCACTGTAGCACCGGTAGCATCCTGATCATGTCTTCTGCGGGCGTATCCGTCCTGTCCCAGTAGTGTCTTAAGTTTGATCCTTGAGAACCAAAGTTTCTGAACTGGTAAGGTGTCCACGATCCTTGACAGGTAGTTTCAGGCTTTCGTATGTTGCGGGTGTTGCAAGTCGTGGCCATGACTTAGTAACGACCATAATCCCGGCTCCATTCATGATGCACCATGTGTGGCATGGTGGGACCTGCAGGTGAGTGCGCCATGAACGCGCTTCAGCTGCGAAGCTCGCAAGGACGGGGTCGTGATGGGTTTCTACAAGCACGTAAGAGAAGCAACTTAGTGAACGACGATGCCGAATTTCACACACAGTACCTGAAAGACCAGCACCCAGAACCGAAAACTACGCCCCGAACCTCCCGTCTCCTCTGTTCAAAGTACCTGTGGCACGACAAAGAAGCCTCCGAGACCTCCGAGAGAAGCATGGCCTGGCACTGCCAGCCGGGGGGAGCCCGAAACCCTGTGCCATGACATGACAACCAGCCAAAAAAGCGCCCGAAGCCCTGGAAGCAGAGAGCTGCCCTAAGTTTGAGTGTTTTCTGTTTTTTCTTTGGATGGCCGCTTGTCTTGTCGGGTCTCATTTTGTCGCGCCTCGGGCTTGTAGTCGATGCCTCAATCTAGATCTGATCTTGGGAGAGCTGGTTCTTTGATGGAGGCATTACACACGACAACTTCCTTTCTCTCTTGGGTCGGGTGCCTGTTAGATTCCGGCCTTCCTGCGTGTGCTGTTTGCATTTGTTACACGGTTAGTGCGAAGTTGGAAAGGGAGCCATATTCCATAATATAGCAGTGGTCTTTAACTCCAGAAACCTCCACCCCTGCAACCATAAGTGCCCCAACGCCCAAGCCCAAACATCCTCTTTCCGAGATCCCCAAAATCCTGTGACCCTGTCATCCGAAAGCCCCAAACAACAACTCGCAGAGCTCTTATCCATCGAAGCAGCGACCCACCACATCCTAGAGTAGAGCTACCAGACCGCCCTGTGAAGGTGAGGGCGAAGAGCTCTTCGATGCCAGCAATGACAGTGAAATGCAGTCGATTGCGTCGGAGTTGAATCAGAAGCCCTGCTTCAGTCGGCATGTCCTATACACGCACGCAGATGGCTCTAATGTTTTCGAAGGAAATGTTTATACACACATGCCCAAAAAATCGACAATTACGTAGTACTTGAGGAATACTTGAATGAGCTGCAACCACTGTAGCTTGCTTTACAAAAGTTCGGAGCCCAGAGCCGTGTCAAGCGGGGCAGGCTGTACCAACCTACCTACATACCTAAGTGCCTGCGTACCTACCTTCTTACCGATCTATCCATCTATCTGTAATTCCTTTTTTACCCGATGTATTTAACCATCCATCCATGTATCTCTCTGATTCATATCTTCTTACTTTCTGGCTTTCTGACCGGAAAACCATATCTTCTTCAACAGAGCTCTCTGCTTGTTGGTGTCTTCAGCCCCTCCGATAAAGCCTCGAAGCAGGGGTGCGTCATTCGGCGCGGGGGGCCTGACAAGTCCCCTATGCGCCTGAGACAACAACAGGACAAGACAGACAGACAGACAGACAATACATGCAGACATGCGTACATGCATGCATACATGCTGGTATATGTACTAACGTATCTAACGTGCCTGCCTGCCTACCTACCCACCTACGACCTGCCTCCCTGCTTACCTACCTGCCTTCCCACCTACCTACATTCATACAGACTTAACCTTTTACATATGTACACACATAGATACACATACACACCGACATAATAAGTATATCTGACTATATACATATACCTGCGCATTTGGATATGAAGTCCTGTACATACATGCATGCATGCATGCATGCATGCATGCATGCATACATGCATACATACATACATATACACATATAAGATTTTCATACATCTGCAGGTGCATGTATATACCTTTTCGGCATGGTGCATCAGCATTCAAGTACACTACACACTAGCTTAAGTGTCCATATTGTGGTATGTACTCTCTGTTCTACAATGAGGTCATAATGTTACATTAGACGCTTCCGCGTGCATCATTGTCATATACTTGTATTTCAACTGCCGTCTCTTCTTCGACTCCCTGTGATCCTTTGCAAGCATTGTCATCCTTTTGTCTGTGTTTTGCCCTCAGCAGACGGGCGCGAGCACTCGCCGAGGACTGGGCGTGTTTGGCGCCTCTACCATGTGACGTCGCCCTCGATCGGTCCAAAGATCTTGCGGGCGGGGAACCAGAACCTAAACCCTAAAGCTTACTGAACCGTACACTACACCCTACGTTTAAACCCCCTATGAAGCCTTACATGAATCCCTAAAAGAGTCCTGTTAGAAGTGGGAGGTGCCCTGAATTAGAGATTTATTCTCTAAAGGGATCCTAGCGCTGCGAGTAGGGTGCAGATCTTTAGGCTGAGCTTTGGAGAAAGCCCCAAAACCCTAGAAGCCTGCAGCCCCAATCGTAGGGCCCTTGGGTGCATGAAGCCGAACTCAGAAATCTGTAGAGTTCAGGTGCAGCTTCCCATGGCTCCGGGGTTTAGGGCCTCCGAAGCTTTGAAATGCTGAGTATACTTGGCGCATGTATCGCCCTGCTCGAAATCCTTGTCCTTGCCAGTGTTTTTTCTGAGAGTTACTGGTCCACACTGGTCCAACAAACACAGTCACAGATGCAAAGGAGAGATCGGCCTCCCCCAAGCCCCATATCAGCGTTGTCTCGATTGAAATCTGATGACAGAAGTCATCGAAGCAGCTTCTGAACATGGACAAAGCCGTTAACCCCCCGGGAGGAAGGCTTCCGCGCTGGCCACGCAGGCGGGTGCAGCTTTCCGGACCTCCGAACCGAAGCCCAGAGCCTCTTACATCTTCTAGAAGCCAGGGTTTATGTAGGGGCCGGAACTATTCGGAATGGGAGTCCTTCGGTGTCCTGGTAGTAGTTACAGCATGTATCATGGATACTATGTTCTTGCCCTTAAGGGTTGGCAGCAAAAGACAGCCTCTCGTCTCGGGGAGGCTGGTGTGGCGGGGCTATCTACTTCGGCAACACAGCACAGGCTCCTGGGCTGAGATGCAGAGAGCCCGGGTTATCAGTTCTGGGACATCCGAGGAGACTCATCATAAAGCTGTCGGCACGGAGTCCCACCAGGGCTACATGATCGAGGCCATCATGGTCTGGGGTCAAGATTTCGTTTTCGTGGTCAGCGTTTATAAACTTTAAACATGCATTCGGCTACGGCCGGAGGCTTGTTCTAAGGTCAAAGACGCACGCGTGTACCACTCTGCTTCTGCAGACGTCACCGACCGATGTGAGGGAGACTTTCTTGAGTCGGTCGTGCGCAGTGCATCGCCAGGCCATGGTTGATGTTGGGCGAGTCAAAAGCATGCCGTGGAGTCTACTCTGGCATTCAGAAGGTGTTGGGGTGCATCTTCCAAGCAGTCAGGGCATCGCATGATTCAACGATATATGTTCAGCTAGCTTAGTTTTTGCATGGTCGCACGACCATATGTTGACAATGGCTCGGCACCACGGAACTCCGCAGGAACTTAGTAGCAAACTTCAGAGCTTTTCGCAGAGCCGAAGCTCGCCTCTTGGCACTTGCAACAGTTTTTTTTTGCAATGTCGTCAGACAGTGGCCGGAATCTAGCATTTTCTAGCCTTGTCTAGCATTATCTGGCATTTTCTAGCATCCTGGTTTTCCGGGACCTGGCCGGAATCTAGCATTTTCCAACATTATCTAGCGTTGTCTAGCATTATCAACACTTTCTAGCATATTGTCTAGCATTGTCTATCTAGGCTGGCGTTGTATTTGCATGGTTGGGCACATGGTTTAGGGTTTAACTTTCCATTCTTGGGCTAGAAAGCCCAGCACTTTTGGGTTCTATCGTGTGTCCAGACCTGCGTTTTCATCCTTTCAAAGCCACAGATCTTCGGCACACGAGCAAACTAATTACCTAGTTTTTTCTAGAGCTTTCTCTAGATTTCTCTAGCTTTACCTAGCTTTGTCTAGCCGCCCTTGTCTGGCTAGTTTTTTCCTGTGGCTGTGACCCTGACGGTTGGGAAGCCAACACCAGTGTCCCCCTTTGACTAAGGAACTGCTATACCAGCGTCCGATGCATCCAGACGCACCCGAGCGTCCTGGACTTGCAATCGTCGACATCGTCGTCGTATAAGTAGCAGCAGAAGTGGTGGTTGTGGTGGTAATGGTAGTGGTGGAGGTGGTGGTGGTGGTGGTGGAAGGGGTGGAAGAGGTGGGGTGGTGTGGTGGTAGTAGTAACAGCAGCAGCAGCAGCAGCAGGAGGAGGAGGAGGAGGAGTAGAAGTCATGGCAGCAGTGGCAGCAGTAGTAGCAGT